TCTAAGCAGAATGAGCTGGCTATTAATGTAAGCATCGTATATAAATAACTCATGCATTAACGAATACGTTTGACTGAATTTAAACATGAAACTGAGAAATTCTGATGCAGAGAGTTTTCTCAAATCTGTTTTATTTCCATAAACTTTTCATTATATGGATTTATGGTCAGAGTTCCTGTATTTCTGGATTCTTGAGTGAATTTTGCTCTTAACTTAAATTTAACATCTAATACAAAATAAGTAATCAGTTTTATTATTGCTAAATCTTAACAATAATAATAATAATTTAATACAGTTTAGTTTATTCAGATGACTGTTTTGTTTTGTATTTTCGTGATATTTTGGTCAAGACTTAATATCTAGATCTATAAAAATCTAACTAGTTACTTAAATCAAGTGTTTACCACTTGACCACTTTATTATGTTATCAACAACACTATTACAGATATGTTATATATTGTGGTCTTGTGCTCCTATCAATATATGACGTAATGATACCATCAATTAGAGAACAGTAACTTATCGACCGAACCAATGACGAATAAAACCCGTATGAACAGTATAGAGTATTTATCAATCCTTCTTCCTGCCTAACCCTACCTGTTGAGTCCAAAACATCAATAACAGCCTCTGTGACATGAATCATGTATTTCAAACATAGTGGGTTTATGCACAAACCAAACAGGCAACATCGTACCATAAAATAGAGATTAACATTTGTACAAGATCTAGCTAGAAGTGTCTGTAATTGTAGGAGACGGTAACTAATAGACTGGACATAACTCAAGAATGGTAAATCATGTTATAATAGTCTATGGGTCAAAATAAAGCTTATAATAAGTGGATCATGAATATGTAAAGATTAGCTGCTTAACAATAATACAATAAAAATATATGTATCGTTTTGATCCATAAATAGCTCTCGAAAGTTACCATTCATAATTCTTGTCGGGATATAACAAAATAAATGTGATAATCGTGAGACTCAAACATAATCTGTGATATAAATCATGTTTAATACCTAATTTATTTTTCCATAGTCTAACATTGAAGTTTTCAATAGAAGAAATAATTCGTCAGATATGCCGCGTTTTTCAAAAACATTCACATGCTCCGAAAATTGAATTATTTTGTTTTTTTGTTTTATGGAAAAATCATTTGTATGGTAGTTGTAATTTTTATTAATCAATATATGGTGAAACCTTAAAATTCCTAACTGATTTCTTTGAATGATATCTTCATGTTCATTATTTTATGTATGCTGTATTAAATCAAAAACTTTTACTGTGTCATGTATTAAGACAAAAGTGGTGCCAAACAACCATACTGAAAGTACTTAGACCATATGATTTATGTTAGATACTGTGATCGTTCAACTTTTATGCTGATAAACGCGCTTCCTATACACAGGCCTCAAACTAGTATGTGAGCGAGTGAACTAAGAATGAATAGGAAGCTGTATTGGTAGGCCGAATACAAATGCATAAAGGTCCATTAGTTTATATATATATATATATATATAATAGTTGAATTCATGAAACTACCATGGAAAACCTGGAAGCACTGGATGCTCACTACTGAGGAGTCGCATACTAGAACGAAAAGGCCGTCTAGTGCTTCCAGGTTTTCCATGATGGTCAAGCTTTAATTGACTCATAAATTCAACTATTAAATTACTACAATCTCCACAAAACCCCTTCTCATATATATTACTCAGATAGTTTAGCCAAATCTTTATCAATAGCATTCATCTATCACTATATCTCACTGATTGTCTGGTCTTGAACTAGAGTTTGCTCACAGGCACGTAATATCTCGAGATCGCATCAACCTACTAATTTAGTATTCTTTGAATGTAATAAGTAAATTAATTAGAGAAGTATTTAAACTGGTCACAACTCATTATATGCTTTAATTGGGTGTTACAATGCAAATATGTAATGTTTATTTTTGGGTGTGAATAGTTATCTTTTTTCATTGTTTAAACAATTAAAAAAAACATTGACATTAGAATGAACTCTATAATATTTCAGTTTCGTAACATTTTTTCATAATTAAATTTATCAATAGAATTATTACCATAAAGAATTTAAAAGTAAATTTCAAATGATTTCAGGGTTTGATAGTTTGTTGATTATAGAATTCAGAGATTTGTATTATCTTGAGAAATAGGAAAATGACTCAAATTGTGCAATCTCTATGTAGGTTTCTTAATCAAGCAATGAATAAATCAGGTTGATTTTTCAACAAGATGTTGGTACAAATATTTGTTCCCTTTTAATATATGAAATCTTGTAGTAAGCCAATTCCACTACTGTATTATTTGTTTACTTACTGTAATTTAGACATTTAATCCATCATGTAAATTCCTGTGTGAGTCTGATTGAGCTCATGTCAACTTTTAATCTATTCTCCCATTGGTTGTAATACACAGACAATCAATAATTTATCCATACGTGATTAACACTCAAAATATATATATGGATTTTTAACACACACACTCTTGGTTTCACTGTGTGCTTGCTTGCTATACGCTTGCGGATTTTATTAATCTCTAACAATAAAAAATATCTCTACAACTGGTGTTCAGGCTTCCAAATAATCTCGAGTAAACCCATAACTCTACCAGCAGATTTAGCCGGCGTTAAATACTCAGTTAATGGGTTATCATTTATTGGAGTCAGATATAGAGGAAACTAGCCTCTACAATCTATACATATCAACGAAGAAACTAAATCACAAATAACTTATTTCATAAAATCACTCCTGAGATAAATGACTTAAGTGTATGTACCTAGACATTCTATCCTTATTCATTGATAATTTGATTTGTTTTGTTACTTGTTAAATATATCTTGACCTAAAGGTGTTATCTATTCCCTAATCAAAGTTTACGAGAACTCAAGGCTTCACCATTTCATTTTTTTCTTTATATTCTTCATGATAAAGCTATTTTTAATATAATTCAAAAATTCTTGTTATACTTTTAGTATTCATAACATTTTAGCTTTGTTTGTGATAATATTATAAAAGCTTAATAAACCTGTTAAACATATTTGAACAATAGGTTTCATTACCAATTTCAAATAAATTGAGCATTGGGTAGATTGTTACAAATAAATTAATATGTTTGTAATATCCTAATGAGTAGAAAAATTAGATTTTCTGACGTTTCGTAACTCAGTGTAAGCCACTTCTTTAGAGAACAAACAAATAACCAAATCAAAATTAGTTCACGTTAAAATAGTACAATGGAACAATGTAAGAATACTATGTGCGGTTAATCAAATTAAACTCTATCCTTTCGCACCACAAAGGTCACATGTTTTCATCCCTGACCTTGCACACATACACATACACAAATTTACATACATGTCGCTTATAAATCACTTTGACCGAAATGACATGACATTGACTTGTTCAAACCTGTTTGTTGATTGATCGAAAATAATATGCTTGTGTTGTTCTTTTGTACTGTTTGAACTTGGATTAGTTTTGATTTGGTTATTCATTAGTTTTCTAAAGAAGTGGCTTATATTGAGTCACAAATGTCAGAAAATCTAATTTTTCTACTCATCTGGGATATTACAAATATATTATTTATATTTATATTCAAACAATGATTATTTACGCAATTTATGAGTGAAAACATTGAATATTGAAGTGATTTCAAAAGTTTGCTTATAATAACTACGAAATATAAAAAACTTTAGTATGAGATATTACATTAACTATAACTAAAAAATATCAATTCGGATATTCCAGAAGAATATTCAAACCATCTGAGTAATTTTATATTGCGCATACGGCGCTTCACCATTACATAAATATATCGAACTAATAATAACTATGAACCACTATGAATTCTAGAATTATTTCCAGAATATATATTCGTATATTTATTTGTTTATTAATTTTAAACAACAGCTAGAGTTAAATTCATGAGTCGATTAAAACTAAACCAACATGGAAAACTTGGAAGCACTGAACGGCCGTTTCGTCATAGTATGGAACTCATCAGTAGTGGGCATCTAAGACATTAACACCTTTGGATGCCGGCCAACTCAGTGGTCTAGAGGTAAAGCATTCGCCTGCGAGACCGGAGGTCCTGTGATCGAATTCCGCGGGCAAGATCGTAGATGTGCACTATTGAGCAGTCCCATACTAGAATGAAACGGCCGTCCAATACTTCCAGGTTGTCCATTATGGTGTAGCTTTAACAGACTCATGAATTCAACTATTAAATTACTACAATCTCCAGAAAACCCCATTAATGATAATAGTTCAATTGGTTGATTAACTTCAAAAAATAGTTTTACACTTATCAATTTACACTTCAATAGTTTCAAGTTTTATAACAATCATATCTAATACGGAAATTATACTATACTCTAAACAAAATGTATGTAAAATCTTTTTCTTTTCTTTTTCTCTTTTTTTACAATTCATAATAAAAGTATCCAGATGACTTTAACAATGTTTTGTTAATTAAAATAATAAAGAATTTATCTTGTTGTTAATTGAATCCTTGAATTAGTTAATCAATTCAATTATAATCATTCACATTTATAATTATTAACACAATGATTTAAACAAAACAAAACAAAAATTACCCTTTACATCTCTAAAAACATTATTTAACCTCTCTCCCTCTCCCCCCCCCCGCAAAAAACTACATAAGTACATATTATTGTACTTGAAATATTCATTTCAATCAAGATAAACAATTAAACAATAAAATAAACTTAATCATTTCAATGAAATTACAACATTAACAATAATATCATTAATGACAACAGTCAATAATATATATATAATAGAATTAACTTATTAACTTAGATGGTTGTAATTTTATTAAAAAGAAACAAAGACGAAAAAAAAAACAAAAAAAAGAACGATGAATAAATATGTATATGGGATGTTCAATATGTAAATATGAATACAATTCAAATGAATAAATCTTTTATTTTTTAGAAAAAGAAACGAAAAAACATTTTAGTTTACATCAGACAACATTTATCAGTTGCTTGATTTGCTAATTGTTGTGGTAATTCAACTACTCTTGATGCAACATCTTGTATTGCAGTTGGAATAAATTCTTGAAAACAAAAAATGGAAAAAAAAGAAAATTTATCATTTTAAACAATTATTGATTATTAAATAAGAACTTTGGTCTAAATTTGATTGAATAGTTTCATAGAATTTGGGTGCCGAATTAATGTGAGACATTATTATTATTATTATTAATTCCTTGAAAAAGCTTAGATTAGATTGCCAGGCAAAACGCTGAATTTACTTGAAATTCTTTCGCTATGATTTTACAAATACATTCTTACTCTTTAATGTCTCATATTATTGATTATATTTTAAAGTTGGATTAAATATAGAATCAGTTATCTTTAATTATCTAAGATTGTTGTCTACAGGTATACTAGAATAATAAATATGTTCTAATAAATTATTCTAATTGTTTAATGAGGTATAAAGTAATATATTTCTTCTTTTAAAACTAGACAGGTTAAAAGTAAGCCATAACAAAGAAAAAAGTAAAGTACACAAATTAATGTGATAACCATTCTGGATAGTAAATCAGTATTATTAGGGTAGGTTAAGTGTAGGGACAAATTGTTTTTGAACAGATAAAGATGATTTCAGTTTCCGTATAGCCAATATTTAAATAAACCTTAGTACACGTCCTTGAAGACTTTTGTATAACACTAATAATGCTAACTTGATGTCAACCTTATGACCACTCTCGCTCAAATATTTCATAATAGAGGAAGAGGTCTGTCTATCCTGTGATCTTATTTGACCATTGAAATTCATTTTTTCCTGGAGCCATTTTGGTATGTGTTCACCCACCCTTAGTTGCGAATCACGACTGCTCCTCCCTATGTACGTGTTTCCACACATACATGCTTTTGGTGAAACATAGACCTTGTCTTTTCAATAATGACAAGTTGAGCTGCATAAAATATCCGGCTGATGGCTAATTTAAGTCTCCGTTTCAACATGAGACTATTTGAGTCGCCTCTAAATGGTAACATAACGTAAACTTGCCTTTCGGGTGCCAGAGGCGTCATAGGTCTGACCGCATTGTAAGCCTTTCAGTGGTTTATGAACTTCAAAGAATAACTATTATTCACTAACGTATCAGTCAAAAGCGTCTCCACTTCAATAGTACCACTAGTACAAATACGATTGGTTCTATTTGAATAAGCTATTTATTAATCCACGTTTGTAATGAACAGAGCAGTGACTATGGAAATTAAGATAATGCTCTTTCCACGTCGGCTTTCTATATATAGAACGTTGGATGGAACCATCATCTCTCCTACTAATCAGTATGTCTAGAAAAGGAAGTTGGTTGTTCTTCTCTTCTTCAAATGAAATAAAAGTATGCTTTTGATTTGTATTGATCTCTTTTAACAAGCGGTTTACATCTTCACATTTATCCCCTATGATTATAATATCATCAACATACCGTTTATACAGACACATCTTTCGAATTGAGTCTTCAGCTAGATTTCCTTTATTGTTTTTCATTCTACTGATTATTTAAAATTATTCAGATAAATTAGAATTCGAATACTTTGTATTGTATTCAATGTGTTCTTTTCAAAAAAGCAGTTTCAATGTGAATATTTTTCACCAACATTCATTCTAAAATAATTTTTGTTTAGTATCAGTTCTTAAATGCTTGATTACGTAAGTCAAGATAATGTTACTATGTAATATAGTCTTTAGAATAATATAATAGTAAAAAAGTATATTTCGCAGTTCTATGCTATTCTCCTTTTTATTGTACTGAAAACCTTTCAATACCTCATATATCCCTATTAAAAATATATCTATCGATTAAAATGAACGGTAAATCCTCCGGAGTGAACATCAACTTGGGTTTGCAAGTGCATCCAGCTGACGAGTTACCATATAGAATAAAACGTGAGCACTGGATTTCACTGATAGTCGTCACCTATCTTTGTTTATAATACTCGAATCATATAATTTTGGAATTTTTTTAGAAAACTTATGAAGTACTCATAAAATGTCCTGACTCTATAAATGTAAATTGTTAACTATTCAAAAATATCGCAATGTATTATTTGTCATGTAGAATCCTTTAACTCACAGACTTCATCAAGAAACAACTGAACCGGCAGTTTACGGCTATCGATATTATCTGTTGTCATCTCATTTTTTAAAATTATCCATATACATTTTCATCTATACATCAAACAATTATTAGCCACTGTAACATTAAATGTTTTCTAAAAATCATATTTCGAGTTACAAATCCTACATGATTTTGAAAACATCAAGCGATCACAATAAAAAAGCTTACTCATAAATGAATCCTCTTGAGCAGATCTACGATGTGTATTTAAATTGACATCAGAGCATCGATGAGTTGATGATCGTCTTGAACCATCTGGTGTTCCTACTTCCAGAAAATCAGATTTCTTTTTCAGTCCATACTAAATATTGCAATACAGTTCACAAATAAAGAATTGCGTTAATATTAATTAGTATGCTCATCAAAAAGTGAAACAAGATGAAACATAACAGTAGTAAGAAAAAAATACTACTACCACAAATAAGGAAATACTACTTGTAAATGTATGTTCGTAAAATGGGAGCCATAGTTACAATAAGAAAATTCCAGGGGCAGATGAATAAATTAAACTCCAAATATTTAAATCCCAAAATTTAGTTTTACTCACCCAACTTCATTAATAGTCATGAAGCAATTAATTCAATGAAAAACTTCTCTTCAACGAGTTTATTTTTGAAGCTATACAAACTCTATTTTCGTCAGTATGGAAATATAATGAGTTTTAACATACGTAGAACTTACTTATAGACTGAATTCACTTCAAATATTTATGATTCTACAGAGTTAAAGCGTAGAAAATCATTCCAGGAATTACTCTTCATATTACTCAAAGGGAAAATTCACATTATTCTATTAATAATGTAGTAAATACTATTATTCTTGATAAACACAAGTCACACATTTTCGATTAAGATTATGAACAAATTGATGTTAAACCACCGTTGAAAACCTGGAAGCACTGGACGGACGTTTCATCTTACCGTGAGACTCCTCAGCAGTTCTCATCCACAATCTCGCGCGGTCACGCTTAACTTCATGATCCCAGTCAAAAACTTAATAATCTCCACAACCACATACTGATAATTATCATGTGCTCACTAATGAATAACTTCGTGAGGGAATTGCTGGAGTTCTAGTGAGAAGCCGGTGACCAGTGGAGCTAATTCGTGTCGGGTAGAGACAAGTATCTACCTCAGTACAACGGAAGATGGTCGCGCAATTCAGTGAATCGGTTGAAGTTAGACATTAACACAATTGGATGCCAGTCAGCTCAGAGGTCTAGATGTTAAGCGTTCGCGCGCGAGATCGAAGTTCGTGGATTCGAATCCCGCGGGCGGGATCGTGGATGCGCAATGCTTCCTGGTTCTTAGTGGTGATCTAACATCAATCGGTTCATGTTCTCTATTTAAAACTTAGTAATCTTCACAAACACATACTGATAGTCACATATTTATATCAACAGATACAATGGTCTTTTAGAGTAAACTTTACCAGAATAAGTAAATGAAAGTTTTAACCCCCTTTTCAATTGTCGGCAATCGTTCTTTGAGACATTCTACCGATAAAAAGATATTCTTTTTCCATAATGATCCGCATTAAATCGATATCACTAATCATTTCTAATAGTTATGATAACATTTTACGTTCGTTTTTTATAATCAGTTAATCACAAAAAGGGAAACTTTTTGTACTTATCTCTATAGAAAAAAGCGTATTTTTTTAATAGGAAATATAAATTTGACTTTCATAATGTTTATTGTTCAATCATTCTGAAAGCTTGGTAAATAATACCTGCCCATTAGTATCTTATCTACTTAATAAAGTAGTTTATGTATTTTTCAAAAAAAAATTTGCAAGCTTTAGAATATACTGAAAAGTAAGTATACAGTTTGTATTTAATCATGTGTTTGAAATTATATAAATAACTCTAGAAATAACTTTATTCTATATTACTCAAATTCCAATGAAGTTTGAAAGTAATCAAATAATCGAATAGTGAACTCAAAGATTATGCATGACTCAAAGTTAGCAGATTATATTTGCATGATAAATTCCATATCTAACTACCTTTCTTTGCTATATTTACATATATATGAAATACCTAAACAAGTCGATTAAATCTAAATCTATTTTTATACTGATTAGCTCAATTTTGTATAATAAATTTGTAATTAAATGACTGTAAAATGTTAAGAAGTTATGCATAATTCAGGCCAATTATATGAATTGATTATTTGTGTATATAAAGAAGTCTTTACAACTAAATGTAACAGAATAAGCTTAAACTATAAAACAAAATGAGCCTTATTTTTATCAAACAAAAGTTCATTTGAATAATTAGGTCAACATTTTAAAAATGTGTCATCTGTAAAATAAAAAAAAAAAAAAGATTAATCAGAGAACAAAAACCCAAGGGACAAATATGCAAGAACATACTTGATTTAATGATGCTTATATGAATAGATATTATATAATTCAGATTTGTAACGAAATAAATTTATGATGGAAATTTAAAAAATATTAAATTCATTTTTGGTAACTGGTTTGTAAGCAAAGATGGATATCGGTTAGCAGTAGAATCCAGGACGCGCGTCTTGTCCTATTTGGAACTCGTCAACTGGATGTACTTGCATACCAGAGTTGGTGTTCACTCTGGAACTCGAATCCAGTACCGTTCGTTACAAACGCCATCTCGTTATCCACTTAGTTACTAAGTCCTGATAGCCCCTTGTTTTTGTAATGAAGTAAAGTTTAAATTCACTTGGTATTCATTATATATGTAAATTATATTTGAAATAATCCCAACGTTTCATCCAGCTAACTTGTCTGGACTTCTTCAGGGTAACAATCAAAATCATCAAACAAATACATAGCTTTTAACAATCATAAATGTACTTCGTTGATTTGAAGAAGCTAGAGAATAAGTCTGCGATAGCGTTACATGCGTTAGAAACAGGACACAATACCAATTTTGAAGGGGCCAAAATACTTCAGAAAGGTTTTAACACTCATAAGGAAAGATTGACAGCAGAAGCGCTGTATATATGGGCGAACAAGAACAGCCTGAACCGAAAAGATGGTATTCAACTGGCGAATACCTGGCAAATATCGTTGGACAAGTAATTTGAACCCTATCTTTTTTCAACCTGTTTATTTCAAATGCATCGTTATCGCTGACTGAATTCAATGAGGCTTTAGCAATACAAATATGTATCTCACTGGTTGAAATCATGAGTCAATTGAAGCTAGACCACCATGGAAAACCTGAAAGCACTGGACGGCCGTTTCGTCCTAGTATGGAACTCCTCAGCAGTGCGCATCCACGATCCCGCTCCTCGCGAGATTCGAACCCAGGACCTATCAGTCTCGCGCCAGGCGCTTAACCATGGTGGTCTAGCTTCAATGGATTCATGATTTCAACCAGTGAAATTTCTAAAATCTCCACACAATCCCTTCTGAAAATATGTATCTGTTGGATTCTTAAATTTTGACATGTACATCGATGATTCATTAACAATTATTCAGCCTTGAACTTGCACTTTATTTATTTATCCTTCCATACATAACATAATAACACAGAATATCAATAATTAATCTCATACATACACACATACCTACGCACTCACACACACATACACTTGTTGTTACAGGTAACTATTTCCATGTAGCTGAATTTTTCACATGAAATTGGAGTTAACTGACTCATTTTATCCTATGTTACAAAAATAAACATCCAAATTTGATTGGTTTAACAAAGTACGGTTATGATTGCTAAAAGCTATATATTTTGTTTGATGATTTTGATTTTGATTATTACCCTGAAGAAGTCCAGACAAGTTAGCTGGACGAAACGTTGGGATTATTTAAATTTCAATCGCTGAGATTATTTCAAATATAATTTACATATATAATGACTTCTCTATACTCGGCGCCCAATATCTGTCAAACTATTCATTCTAATCTTGACGAATATTCGTATAAATCACTTGGTATTGTTTACTTGGATCTTCTCATTAATGATTAGGACTACAATTGATCAGTTTGTTATTGGCATATGTGCATACTGTGTGTATTACCTCGATATTGCTTTAATTCACAAGTATCATAAATAGGACGAAACACGCGCCATGTATTCCACAAATAGGGTACAACATTTAAATGTTCACAACATGATATCTGTTAACTTAAAGCAATTCAAAAATCAATATACATAGTCTACTAATTATTTTTATTTCTCTGAATGAGTTTTTTCTTGATAAAAAGAATGTTTATATTTTTCAATTATTAAAGATTAATATCAGAAGGGTTTTGTGTATACCATAGTAATTTCAATGGTTGAGATCATGGATCAGTTGAAGCTAGACCACCATGGAAAACCTGAAAGCACTGGTGGTCTAGCCTGAACTGACTCATGATCTCAACCACTGATATTAAAGATTATTCAACTAAAAAAATTACCAATTTAATCATTTTAACTCTAAGTCAAATTATTATTCTGTAATATACTGATCTTAAATTGATCATATCTAATCGAGTTACTTACATAATAAAGAAGATTTGTATCTTAGGTGGATGATTTTGATAGAGTTTTGTTCTCTGAGCTAGATGGTTTGATTGTGGAGGTAGACTTCTACCTGAAGTTGTTCAAAAGAACGATGAAAGCTCCACGACCAAACCATCTAGCTTAGAGAACAAAACTCCATCAAAGAGTTACTTCAATTCCTGTGATATTTACTTATGTCATCTCTTCGCTTCAAATAACATTCTATTTATTTTAGTTACTAAATAAAATTTGAAAACATTAAATTTATTTATTTTTTTTTTTAGTAAAAAATATCGGTGGTTTAATGAACTGATAACTACTTGATACAGCATAAAATACTTCACATTATTGATTATGTAACTTTACTAAATAAAAGATAAAAATAAATCATAACGATAATAAGCAAATTGAAATTTAAAAAAGTAAATAACAACAACAACAACAAAAAGGAAGTAGATTTGATTGGTTCATTCATTTTTCTAATCATTAAACTTAAAATTAGAAAGTAACACTCTAAATGTGTTCTCTTTTTTCCTCTTTTCTGTTCAAAAAATAGTTTATCTTTACTAATAAACATTTTAACATTTCATGTTGAATATGTAACAAAACATTTAAAAGTTGTTTGTAATAAATAGATTAGGAAGAAATTAGTAACAGAGAGAGAGGCAGATAGAGAAAGAGAGAGGGAGAAAGTCAGAGAGAAAAGTAATTAAAATAGAACTGCAAAAAGCTCATATAAACAAGTTTTAAAGATCAAAATCTGTAAACATATATAGAACAAATTTAATAGATAATTGAATTTTTTTTTTCAATAAAAA